CATTTTGAACAAAGGCGAGCTATCATTTTAAGGTTTCCGCTGACGAAAACACGTGTTTTCGCTTTTGAATTTTAAAGTGAAACTCCTCATGCATCACAGTGCTCCTTTATCTTCGTCATTTCACAAGAAAAATATAAAAAGATAGTCTCTCATTGTCAACTGATAAGTCTCATTTGTTCTGGTGTGAATATAAAATAAAATATTTTTTTCTTCAGCCATCAATAGAATAGCTTGGTTCACGGGTATCATATTTTTCATTGATCTTAACTGATATAGTTTTGGTTGTGACATCTCGAATCTCGTGAACACTTCCTTTTCACTGAATTAAATGTTTCTGATCAGTCTAAATGTCTGTGGCACATTAACAAGTACCGAGAAGAGGTTAAAGGCCTGGGAAGGTTAAATGCAGGTAATTAAGCACTGAAAGGTGTCAAGATTTAAGTTGGAAGGTTCGAGACAATGTACAACTATGGGTGGTTAGTGGCTCCGTTAAGATCAGGCAAGCTCAAAAAGAAGACAGAAAAAAAAAATTTCCCGGGCTTGATAACCATTCTCCTCTTAGCTGAACTGGCCAGAGTGGAAAAAGAAATTATTTCCGCTGTATCAGGTTAAAACTTGTGGACGAAGATACGTCCGTATCAACTGCTGGTTTCCTACACGAAGGTACTTTACCAGTATGGGAGCTATTAGAGCCTTACAAACGAGTATGTATGATAAACGATGCTCTGACAAGCAAAGAACTCACCTTTAGAACGCACATGATTCGCCTCTTTCCGTTGTGGGAGGTGAAATAGGACGGTACTTTAAGATATCAGTCATATCAAGTGAAGTGGTTCTTTGGGTCTTCTCGTTCAACAGCGTTACCACCGCCTTCAAAAAAGTGAAACGTGACCTTTGTAGCGGGGAGAACTAAGTTTGATAAGTTAGTTCAAGAGCATTAAGATCAAGATCTCAACTAGAAAGCTTTTATTCTCGAGATAAAATTATAGAAGAACATGTGGGCTCTTGTTAGCAGTTATTCAAAAGCAAAAACAAGTGGAATGGTGACCTGTAGATCAGTGAAATGACGGCTGAAATAAAGATGTGTCTCAAGTGGAATATAGTAACAGAAGAAGTCATAATTAATAGAGGAAAAGGTTATTAAGCCCGGTAAACTTCAAAGGAGCAAAGATGACAAAATTTATGTTGCAAGGTCCACGACCGTGCACAATCTCAATTTTGTTTTGCGTTCATACACTATGCATGAATTACGTAATAAAAACGTTTCTGCTGGTTAGTTCTTTGGTGAAAAGTAAACAGACATTGTGATTCGTGCACGGTCAACGACAAAATCGAACAAAACCAAAATCTTTATTGTGCTTCATGACAATTTCTCTCTATTGATAACTATCATGAAGCCGGAGCCATGGCCCGGACATTTTTAAACGCATGGAGTTAAAATCAGAAATCAATATTGTCGAACTGTATTTTGGGTGGTGGCTTAGATCAGTCTCAGGGGCGTAGCGTACATTATTCATGGTGTGCTCACCGAAGTACTCATAATAAGGTTTGAGGGCATGCCCCCCACCCCCATCACCAGGAGCATTTTGTTTTAAGGGGTTTGGAAATGCCGTATCCCACCATGTTTCCAAGGGACAGTTTCTAAATCAAAACATGGAGAAACGTTGAAAAGGAGAGATTATTCAAGACTGAACCAGTTGATTTAATCATTGCCGGCAATAAATATTATTTATAACGAATAGATTCCAGCTGGCCGTGTGTCTGTTGAGTAATAGATCACAGATGACGTCAAAATGTGATTTGAACAAAAAAAGTGGCACATGAGGCGATAGCCGAGTGTGTCACTGGTGTTCTTGTGGCATTTTGTTTGACGTTATCTGTTATCTATTGCTGAACAGACGCATGGCAAGGTGGATTCTATCTGTTCCATAAAATAAGGAACACACACACAAAAACGTTATTGACGTCATCTATGCGTCTGTGCTCCAATTTACCATAAGGAAGAACCAACAAAATGCGAGAATAGTTCGACATGTTATACATGTATAAAAATAAATGTTTTTTTGTTTAGGTTTCCGGAGATAAGCACGTGCGCAAGTGCGTATATGGTGGCTACGCCCCTAGGATGTAGGAACCCTCGTTAAGATTTAAGCTTGAATCATGTCTAATGAACAATACAGTGATCTCTCTCTTTTCAATGCAGTTTGTAGTTTATCAGAATTGCTGCCACATTATTTAAGCATCACAGTTGAATAACTTGGCTGCAATCCCAAAATCCTGGCGATTTTATATCTGGACAGAAGTCGTAGCTGGTGCATTTCAGACACACTTCGCTTTTGTTTGCCAATTTTCAGATAATGTCATATTGTCTGTGATTCTCTCTGGAAAATGGTTAACAACAGCAGATATGGTGCAAAGACCCACCACCACATTTTACAACGGTGTTACAACGATGTCCCAGTGTTTATTAGTGTGACCGGGTAATATGTTTAGTATCATATCTTATTATACGGCTAGCTCCGTGAGCGGGCAAGATGAATCAAATCCTGCGCTGTGATTGGCTACCCGAGCGGGCAAGATGNCAGCCTTATTATAGGGCTAGCTCCGTGAGCGGGCAAGATGAATCAAATCCTGCGCTGTGATTGGCTACCCGAGCGGGCAAGATGGAGCTATCTTGCCCGCTCGGGACTACCCGCCGTGTCCCGCAAGAAAAATTTCTGCGAAAGCTATATAATAAATCCTTTATTGACCAAGCTTGTTCGGTCAAGATGGCTTGATATTGGCCTCGTTCTTTTCTTGCGAGTTTATGGACCGAGACGGAGTCGAGGTCCATAAGAACGCAAAAAAAAGAACTTGGCCAATATCCAACCATCTTGACCTCTCGCTTGGTCAATAACCCGTACATATTGCCTGTTGCGTATGTGACGTAGTTTTAAAAATGGTATGACGACTCTAAAGGTACGAGATCTTTCTATTGCTTCCATCGCAACCCGCTTAAGATAGGCCGATCACGACTTTGCAACGTAAGGAGCAGATTTTGTGATATGAATTTTTATCGCCAAGAAGAGGATTGTAATGCTTGTGTCAAAGATCGACTTCCGATTTTATTTCGAGCAGCTCGACACTAGTAAAGGCCATTTAAAAACAAAGGAAACACCCACAAATTGCGAAGCTTAATGACTAGGATGTGTTTTTAGTCTCCATATTTACAAGGGACGCGAGTATGATGGAAAAGGGCGGAGATAAGGGCACGGGAAGCAGGAGAGCAGGGTACGAGCAGCGGAAGGTTCTGACCCTCCGTCCCCTCCCTTACAGCTTCGAAAGCGCGAAAAAAACTATGGGGACTGACGAGCTTTTTTGAGGTGGTATATCGAATACTTAAAACGAGGAGCCCTCTTACATAATCTCACATTTTAATAGAACGTTAATTGGGCAAACGAACTTTTCGTTTCAGCCACATTCGTAATGAGTGCAATTTCATTGCGCAACGTCTCATCTGGACATTGTTAATATGTCAATATGTCTTCACCGACTCACCGTACTGATACTTTACAAGTTGTCAACTAGGAATTTGAGATTAAAGAAACCACTGTTAAAATGGCAGCTATTGCAACACCGGTTAGTTACACACAGTTACACGGGAAGTATTCTCATTCGTCAAATCAACTTCAAGCAAAGCAAGGTATAAAAGATATTTTGTTGAACTTCCATATACGAAAACAATGTCCATGATTGCCAACTGGTTAATTGACAATTAATCGGTCAAGAACTGACAGTCTTCCCAGCTTGGTATGATAATTTTAAGAGTTCATAGACCTAGAAAAGTCCGCTTGGAGAGGCTTCCGTCTTTTGGGGTGGAATAGTGTTTCCTGTCACGGTGTTTACAATGTTTTGCTTGGAAGATCGGTTCGCGTTCAGTTTCAATTTAGATGTTAGAGCAAAATATGTTAAGACCTGTCATCGGATAAAGGAGATCTGAAATACTTTGCGCGCCGTTCATGTCTTTGTTGAAAAATATGTTCTGAGTGAGTGACAGTCAAGTGTCTGCAACATAAACAACCTTTCACTTAATTGTATAATTTATCACGATATTTTATGAGTACAAATACACTGAATAGTTATACAGTGGGAGGAGATCCCAGCAAGCTAATGAGTTTTTTCAAAGACGATCCCCGGTCCATATATTTAGAATGTAGGTATTACCATATTTACGAATGTGACTGGCTAAAAAGACATTGCCCGCGGTGTAAATTTTCCCGCCTAGACCAGCATCTTGACCTGTCATTTGTCCCGGCCCCGGGTCCGTTGTTAGGTTTGCAATGAGACAGTCAAACAAACAAACAAAAAACAAAACAAAAAAAGGGCAGGTTTTTGTTAACAATTCTTAATTGGAGAGCCAAATATACTTGTCACGAAAAAAAACATGAAAAGGTAAATAAAGCGAGCAAACGTTTGGCAAATTTGACTCCCGGATTTGCGTTTTACTAAGGCAATAAAAACACCAGCTGAAGACGAAATTAACAGGTTTTCGTAGAGGCACTCAATAAATGATTAAGAGTGAATTAAAAACAGGTTGAACGGTTATAAGGAAATGTTTTGACCCACGTCTTATTGCACATGTCCAACATCATAGTGACATATTTGTAAGAATGCTCTTTTTTGGAATCATTCTTTTTCGATCAAACTACACGAAAGTTAAATGAACACAATAAACGCCGTGCGATTATATTGTAAGATTTGATCCTAGGTCTACTTTTCTTCCTTGGCATCCTTGCACAAAATAAGAAAATTTAAAACAGCATGAAACTGACTTGGGTTGAATTTGGAACAATCCTTGTCATCACTTAACAGCTTAACAGTGTTACTTCCCAAAATGCCCTCCGGCAAGTAAGGCTTTTTTTCAGAACGATTATTGTCAGTACAATCTTTGTAACAATATTCGAAGTTAGATTCTGGGCATTGAGCCATATCAGCCACACAATCATCTCATGTGCCTGGTTATCGTTGGCGGATCTATTGAAGTTAATAATCGGATTTAGATTATTACAACCTCTACTATCTTAAATTAAACTTCAAACTGTTGACAAAAAAACGATTTCCAGTTAAAAACCCTTTTAGAATATGCAAAGTCCGGTTGCTTTACCAAGGTTAAACGGGTTTTGAAATGTGTTTTATTTTTAACTGATAAGGGAAGGGGTTTACGCTTTGAGACACACCTTCACCTTGGTTAAAGATTTTTCGTTTAGGGGTGAAGAGGCGACGAGTAAACTGCTGCGACCTGGACCACCAAAGACGCCTTGTTTTACAACCCACGATAGGATAATGGCTTTTTTTTTTACCGAGTTTTTGAATTCCACCACCTCATTCAGGATTACTGAACGATTAATGAACGACAACCCCTGACCGGAATCACGATTATGGTTCTTTTTACTTTTATAACTACAGCAACTCAAATTACTAGAAAGTATCTTGTTAGCCGAATACTGGGCAACAAGAACTGCAAACTTCCTGACATTTTCCCTCAAAAGCCACTGAACAACAGCAAGCAAAGTAAAGTAGCGAGCCAAGAATGTTTGTCAGATTGCAACAACGTCATGAAGTGACATGTCAAAGGAAGCTGCGGAAAGGAAAATCAACACGTTTTGTGAAAAGGAAGGCACTAGTTAAATTGCTAGTTCAAAGAGAATCTGTAAACTATTTAAAAGAAAACCCTGCAAATTTGGAATCCTAGGTTACAATTTACAATGTGGCTTACAATTTTAAACTCCAGTGGAGGATACGATTGGCTGGAAAAGAAACTTTGTTTTGGTAGTGTTTAACATGGTTTTTTAAGTGTCAATTCACCAGATATATCATCGTGTAACAAATGCTTTGTAACGAAATAACAGGCGCGTGCTGCACAGAGATTGTGTGATTAGCTGATGAGTGCTTACGCACTAAATAGGATGTAATGAGACACTTTCGATCTATTTTTAATACAGTTGGCAATTGTTAGATCTTCACAAATGATCACTATGCTCTGAGTTGTTATAGAAGAGCCTACATTTGCCTGCGACTTGTAGGAACGGCAGCTTGGTTGGTATTGTCTGCTAAGCCGGACTCCAACAAGGTAGGTGATCATGAGGAAGACTCAGTTCTTTAGAAATTGCGTCCTGATCTTTGTGAATATCCTCGATGCTAGCCGTAGATGGTATATAAATAGGAGAGCCAGACAACAGCGGGCCTCTTGTTCAGTGAAATATCTGCTTCACACTAATCATGGTTCGATTCAGCATCCATGTTAATATGACTGAAGAACTCACTCAGTTTTACGTTCCACGCAGAGTGATATTTTCTTATCCACTCAGTTCTATCCTGGTTACACAATACAGTAGCTGTTCGTGACCAATCTAACCTTCCACAACGACTGATTAGCGATCCTTGAACGATTTCAACTTATGGTAGTTTTGTATACATACTGTTTTAGTGGTTTAAAAATGCAGACTAAGGTACTAGCAATGTCTATATGAGGCCGGCGAGCTGCACTCAAATGTTATTAACAATTGTCTAAAACATACATTTGGTGACCCCGGATGTCTCTAAGTATTCTTATAATACATGCACGCAGGCATGGCGGGATGGCATGCTGACTTCCTAAACCATTTAGGAAATCGGAAGGTAGAAATTACCCTTGAAGTCTATCACAAAACGCACACTAGATTTATGAACAGAAAAATAATTTTAATCCGGAAGCAACAAAACACGTTTAAACACACTCTTTAACGCCCCGTTATCACAGTTATTACTACACACCTTATTAACCGGTATTTGTATGACATGACTCCACGAATTAAAGAAAACTATTTAATATATTGCAAAACAATGGCAATAGCAATAAAACGACATACGCCAGATTATAACCAACACTTTAGAATAGTTGCTGAGAATCGAAACAAAATGTTTATGTAATCTCAGCGTGGTGACTTTTGGGGGCGTGTCTTAAATTAGGTATCAACACCTAGCAAACACATTTTTTAGATTTTAAACGAAACCCATACTGGTAATGTTGCTGGCTGAACCCTTAAACTGATTAACGAATAATACGCTTTAATTAAAGATCAACAAATTTCGGCAGGACCTCCTGCAAGGTTCCTTGTCTGTTAGCATGTCCGAGTCGATCGTCGCGCAGTTAACAAAATAGGGAAGAATGGGAGTGAAAAGATCAGTACGATCAAAACGTACTTGTCAATCTGGAGACATGTACCGGATTGTAAAGTTCATTTAAAAGCATTTCAAAGGAAAAACCCTCTTTTATAACTGGATTATTTTATGTGTAAGCTCAGCTGATTTTTAAATGGTAAGAATTCCAGTCAAGCTTGGTTGCTTGATTGATAATCAAGTTGTTGTTCATCAGTTTGTAACACGTGCAGGAGAGGCTTGACAATTACTCATGATTACTCAACAGCTTCATTCGTTTGTTTATGAACTTTGTCTGTGTCATAATTGTGTTTAAAATACCACAAGGGATCATAAGATAAGCCTGCTACCCCCTACGTAGAAAAAGGTCAACCAGCTACCGTACCCAACTGTAAAATGTCAAAACTAGTTTTGAATAAAAGTATTTTCTCTTTGAATTTCAATAGCTTTTTTCACTTTACTGTTGATGCAACTTTTCATGTCTCCCGTTTTGTACTTACCAGTTGCTTATAGTAGATTTTAAACGGATCAAGAGTAAACAAACCACACCTCACATATCGGCGTCTCAATCTGTCGTATTGATCGGTCGATTATTTGCTGAGTTGATTAACTCGCCGTCCATCTTTATATCTCCCAGAGCCTCGAAGTTTTTTAGATAAATACTGCTAATCAGCTCCATGAGATCAATCGCTGTTTTCATGGCACAAACCCAAGTAACTGGTTGCCCACTAACGGAAATTCCCCAGAGTACTTTAGTCTGATCACTGTATTTTTAATCTTTCCTTCTCCCTAACTGAACCAGAAGTCACACAGCTTCAAAACGTCGTGAGAAAAACGTCCAAGACGCGCTCAAAAAGGTGAGGATATGTTATATTATCACATTTCGCACAATCCCGTTCCTTAACTACAAATCCATCGAGTAATCAGTTCGCGAGAGAAACGTCCAAGACGCGCTCAAAAAGGTGAGGATATGTTATATTATTACATTCCGCACAATCCCGTTCCTTAACTACAAATCCATCGAGTAATCAGTTGTAAACTGTGCCTACAAACAATTTTCGACTGCCATTACATTAGGTACCAGTTGCACATGTGTTATGCCGAAAGTTGCTTGCAAGGGAGGATTGATTTTACTAGACCAAAACAAACAAAACATCTACAATAATTTTTATCACGATCACTTGATGCAAAAGAGCGAAAGTGTTCGACTTAGTCAATCCATTCCAAGTGTTACAAATCATAAATGAGAAAAAAAAACCGAATGCAGCAAAATATTAATAAGTCAAATGCATTCAAAGATCCACTAGGTGTTTTCAAGACAGTATCCTTTGATTCCCTTATCTTGCAAATTTTAATTCAAGTAGTACCTCTACAGTGTCCACAAGCGACCTTTTTATTTGGGGAGTTTGCCTGATTTGTACTCCACACTGAAAAAGAATGAGCCTGGAAATCGCCTTTCCAATGTTTGTTTGGCATCGAGTGCTGGAAAGACATTGCTGTTTTGATCAGTCAGGGAAAGTCGGTAGAGGGGTCTCGTATTTAAGTACAAGTCGATACTCTTGTTTTTTTGTCGTGCTCGTTGCACGGCATGTAAGGAGCTCTTGACACTACTCCGTCACGTACATGCCCTCTAACTCCCTGGAAGCTGAGCTGCGTAAGCCACTTTGGCGCCGACTTTCAAACTGATCAAGGCTCAGGAGTCTGTGGCTGATTTTCTCTCCTACCTCCTTCAAAGACTACAGTACTTCAGTCTAAAGTCTGGTTGCGACTTCTTTCATCTCTGCATAGTATGATCTCTGCAAAGTTTAAATAAAAAGTGGTATTTGAAGATCTCTGAAGTAGATCCTCATCGATAGTGAAACTTGAATGCGTGTGGCGAATGAGAATAGTTAAGTCACTTTTCTTCAAAAAAAATTAAACAATAAGAAAATAATTGAATCATTCTTAATTTTGTAGTCCTGCTGAAGAAGTAGGCGTAAAAAGCTTGCATATATACCGAAGAAATGCCCTTGGCTTTGAATTGCTTTCTGAGTCACATTAAGACAGATTGAAATTTAGAACGATAATTGTAACTTCGACTCTACAGGGAAATAATTTTTCACTTCACTGTGAGACACTGCCACCCAAGCGGAAATATCAAATATTTTAAAAGGCATTTATTTTCCTCTACGGCATTCGATTCGTCTTTGTACAGGTAATGATTTCGGTTGCAATGTGGAATAAATAAGCACAAGTAAATTTTTCAACGACTTAAAAAAATTTCAGAAGCCAGTAGGACGAGTGAAATTTGTGAGTCTTTGATAAAGTTACAAATGCTTAGTTATTCAAAATTGCACCAGAAAACTCAATTGATTACTTGTTAATAGTATACATGCAATTAAATTTCAACTTTCTGCTCTCAAATTCAACTTTTTGTACTCAATTTCAATTTTCTGCGCTGTTTGGAATTAATTTACATGCCCTCAGCCAATCAGCATGCTGCAAGTATTGCATGGATGTTATTACTGATGAAATGAGTCATAAAGTTGCTAAAATAACTGTGTATCCACGAGCATTTCGCCTGAGCTAAACTAAGCTATAGGACCCGGATAATAAGCCAACGATAGAAATTAGCCAATGAGATGACCAGAGAACAGGCAGAAAAAGAAAAACTTGAATAAACTAAAAAGGAAAAAAAAAACAGTATGCTGTTATCCGGTGATCCTGAAAAACAGATTTTTTTGAGTTATAAAAATACCGTTTCTTAAACTCATCAGCCTAGATATCCGATTTTCAGTATTCGGATTGGATTATTAAAATTTGGTTGTCTGAACGTATTTTTAATCACTTTTAAAATATCGCTTTCGTTTTGACGTTATATTTGTTTAACTGACTAGACAGCATGATTACTGCAGTTTCCTGCCATATGAGTAGTAAAAAAATTTTTGGTGGAAACAAAAGTGTAACATGACTTCTTGGTGATACAGAATTCCATATACGCAATATTTAATTAGAAGGCAATAGCATCTGGAGGATCATGGTTTGAGCTAAGACTGACACACACGTTTGAAGCAAACTTTGAGTAAGGCACTTAAGTAGGTAAAAAGGTAAGACATCGTGGTATCAGTCTATATGGTCGATCCTTGAGTAGCGTGGGAAAAGGGTGATGTCCGTTTAAGTTGTTGTTGTCTTGTTTGGTTTCATGGGAAGAGAATATATAGGCCACTCATATGTAAATAAGGTGGCCGCCTTTGCGAAACAAGCTTTGGTGTTCAACACAGCAAATAGTGACGTAACCAGCGCCAATTAGTCAGTCCTTATGATAGAGTACTTTACAGTCTGTAGAAGGGGTTAATTCTGGCCAAAGAGGCCTTGCTTTCGGAGTGTCATTTCAGTGTGGTATGCAAATTTGCTGCCGGTAATTGAACCGAAGAGTTTGTCAATGAGATTTTTGTTATTGCAAAAATAACAGCGGACCCTTGCCTTAGCATCAAGCCAAGTGGCAACGAAAGTCCGTGATTCTTCGGGAGTGAGTGTCTTCTGGAAAGTGTTTAGGTTTGGTCATAGGACACAACACACCTTGGCGAATGACGGAGGCAACCACTTCAAGCGGCTGACATTTTCCGAGTGTTTCCATGACAAGCGAAAATTCTACCCCAATGGGCATACGTTAATAGGACAACTTTTTTCACTGACCTGAATAAAATTTGGTCAAAGTTCTTAACAACTACAATTCCCTTATTCTGCATACTTTCTTAGGTATTGCTGAGTGAAATAATCTCAGAAGAAATGGACAAAACCTGTGACTAGTTTCAGTTATAGTTATTAATTTGTTCATTCGGGTGTTTTGTTTAGTTGTTTTCGGCCAACATCAAAGCCATTTTCGTGACTTAAACCTGAAGGAACTGGGCTGGAAATAGAAATACTGTATAATGAAAGAGATTTATAGAGACGGTGATTGAGACGGATGTTTCTTATAGCTCATCGCTGCAAAAAAACAACAAAAACAAAACAAGACAAAAAACAGGGAAAAACAAAAAAGAAGGGTTTTAAAATTCTTTGAAAGCAATTCATATAACACATTCGATCAATAAAGGTTAATTTCTCTAGAGTGGCAGTTGAACAAAATCTCCCATATATAGTCGAACTCAAGGTTCATGAGCCAGTTGTACCCACTAGCTATAAAAAAAATACTAAATCGAATTTAATCCGCGGATTGAAGTACTTATATTCTATTACGTTCGAATGCTGAACGCAGTGAAGCTCAATCCACGGATTGAGTTGCATTTTGTGGCATCAGTTTACCGGGCCGAAAAACCAATTTTCTGCTGCGAGACTAGTCAGTTCTTGTGACGGCTCCGCTGTTGCTTTTCTTACCAATTCAAAGACTCTCCAAGTTGAAAATAGAAATATGCTGATAGAATATTTGGCGGACTTTTCATTACCAATATGTAAAATGCATCCAAAATGGTGCAAGAACGTTAAAAAAACAGACAGCTAGCGTCAACATTAACTTAAATTTACTTTAAACGTCTTTGTAAGTGTTGTTTCATTTCCAGCTATCAAAAGAGACGGAAGAAAAGTCAATGTATGTTTTTTGCTTAAGTCACATTTTCTTGCGTTTTGAACGCTTGCACATGGCTTGAAAGGCTGTCCCTAAGTTTAGACAGGATTACCTTGTTTTGTCATTCGTCTGGAACATTCTTACATGCACGTTCTTCCGGTTATGGATTCCTCCTATTCTGCCGGGGATTTGATCATGAGCTCGGCAAACAACGCCGCCTAAGCTAAAAATAATACAAAATTAACTGAAAAGGATATTAACTTTTTCTTATCGCTTTACTGACTAGAGCTCTTAGTAGGATTTGTTTATTGACCTGGTCTAGCTTTGAAACTGTTGGCTAAACCTGACGACGGATGTCCGTATAAAATAATAAAAACTAGACCGGCTTGCTTGGAAATTCAGTCGGAAAAGAAAGCGTTCACTGGGGCTAATAAGAGATTTATATTACCAGTGTATTGTTCTTTTTGGAATATTCTGGTGTTAATCTATGGTACAATGACCAAGCACAAAAGACCATACTCTTGACTAATTGCACCCAGCTTTTGTTTCGTAATCACTTAAGACAAGAGAACTAGTGACACCAGGCAATGCTTAGTTCCAACCAACAAACGAAGACTCAAATAGTCTTCATTATAACTGAAGACTAGTCGAGTCTTTTTTTTATTTGCACTGCCACAAGACTTATGTTTCAGAATTTATTTGGCACCGTGATTTATGTTTTACATAGTATTTACAGAAGCAAGTGCCACATAAACACACCGATATGGCACGCGTTAGTCAAGTTTCTTTTCAGTTATGTCACTAGACAAAGAAAGAAACTGGTATATTACAGTTCTAGGTATCATGGTGTTCAACATTCTTTGCCATTTCTTCACTCCACTCTGTCTAAGATTGTAAAATTATCCTGTTTTATTGATACACAAAATCAAGTGTAAGCTGTTCATTTGGTAAGAATAATCTTCCGCCTATGAGGTCTACGTTACCCAGTCCTTTGAACAAAGTCATCAAGCCTTGGGTAGTGTATTTCAGCGGTCAATTTATTGTGTCGAAACCTTGACTCTTTCAGTGTTCCTGGCTGTTAATTTCAGCTTACTTTGTCCACTGGTAGTTCGTAGTTCTTTGACGCTCGATGTTTAGCTTAATCTGAAGGGAATACATATTTACATCAGTCAAATGTTTAACTGAGTTCATCAGTAGTGGAACTCATATCACACTAGTTGACTCGATAAATGTGCATCAGACGCCCACGAGAATCTAAACTGAACATGGACCTACGAGATTTGGACTGAAATGCTTGCTTTCAAAACAGGGAACCAAAGACGAACTTCTTTGTTTTTTTTTTAACTTTTGAAACTAAATGTATTGCTAAGCTGGCTGATTATCCTGATCCAGAAAGCACATCAGTTAAGACCGTGGAGAAGACTGAGAAAACAAAGGACTAATAGTTGCAATCATATCCTTTGTAAATAAATTCTTTTGCGTTGGTGGACAAGTAATGAAAATGCGTAGGATCTTCATTTCATCTGCAAGTTTTTAATAAAGCGCTCGTTCTTCAGAGCAGCATGGCGTCGTCCGTTAAGTCGAACGACGCTGAAGCTACTGAAAGAGAAAATTAGCTTGCTAACGGGAGAGAGCGTCTTCAAAGTGGATCGAGGGATTCAGTAGCTACTGCGAAGTTTAGTTCTTGTGTCAGATTGTCACTCAGGTCTGATCATTACCTCAGCACGCGTAGTCGTTTGCGTGACGCAAAAATTTGAATGCAACAAAGTTCGTCCACTCAATCGTATCAATACACTCGAGGTAGAATGGCCAATAGGCAAAGGCTCGAGAGCAGAAGAGCAAACAGAGATTTATTACAAGCTTACATACTGAGCAAACAATATATAGGAGGAAAGCAGAACACGAAATTGAAATCTTCTTTAATTATATACACTGGCGAGCCAGGTGTTTCTTTTATCAGTCTGAAAGTCATGCATTACTTCCAATTGTGTTCTGAATGAAATACCTCACATGGTTTCTACATTGTTCGCATTCCGTTTCTAACGTTGTGCACTTGCTTTAGCTTTATTTCCTATACCCTGGTGTATCTTTCAATTACCTACTTGGTAGGATCGGTTAATAGGGCACTTATGGCGTACTTAGAGGTCATCTCGCCTTTTTTACACAGTTAAGATTCGGGTAAGGATTATAAAGGCGTGCTAACTCCCTTAACCGCGATAAGAAAGGCGGTCACTACTTCCTGTCATCCACACCAAATCAGACAGAGTAAAAAATCACACAATAACTTGCTCTAAAGCGGCGGGGTGAACACATATGATATATTTTTTACAGCTGTATTTGCCGAGTTTTATGTAAAGAAACCGGTTATCAGGATAGGCAAACAACACCGCCTTCAAACAAAGGGCCGCACGCAAGCGGAAAACAATGTGCTTGTCGTACACAAAACCGCAAAATAACCTAATTCTGTATGGCCATTGGACTTGTAGGTTAATGATATGTACGGGCCACGTGACTAAAGCTGTAATAATATAACGCGTGTTACTTTTTTCCCCGTTGCAGACGGACCAACGCAGTTCAAGAGTTGCGTCTCATTGATACCACGAAATGGAAATCTCAAGAAGTCTCGTGCTAGTTCTCGCTTTGCATTTCTCGGTTTTCAACAGCCATGGTAATGTTTCCTCACTGAAGGTAAGCGAATAAACGGCAAGTGACCGTTTTTATCTTTTTATCGTCATTGGTATATTTGTTGTCTTGTTGATTGGTGCACGAGCGAAGGGTAATCGACACGTGGATTCGTGAGCACGCTCAAGTCTCTCAGTGTGAGTCTTGTTCGTGGTATCGTGGACTCAGCTTGATGCTCTTCTACCAGGTCCTGTTCTTTTAACCAAAATACTTCCCAGCTTAAGATTTTCAATCAATTTAATGGGCACACTTTCCCGTTTTGGCCAAATAAAGCAGTTATGAAAAATAAGTCGGCCAAGGCTCGATGCCAATTGTATCTTAGGGATTAGGGAATTATTAGCGTTTTATCTCGCTGTTTTTTGCGTGAGCCGAGTTCAAATCTTCTGAGAAACGTAAGATTAATAGAATCATCCAGCCAAAAACTGGCTAACGGACTCATTGCCAATTTTCTGCCGGGGTCGAGATTCCAGCCATCTGGTCCATCTGTCTCGTTAAACCGGCAACCGCGCCAAGGCCAAGACTTATCTATTAAATTAGTGTTTATTATGCATATTAGCATCGATCAAAACAATGCAAATAAAATGCTCTTTTATTTTTATTTGTATGACCATGAAAACAATGCTGAATTGATCTCATGGAAGGTTGTGAATTTTGAGCTATGGATCGAACTAGAGAAATTACATTGTTAATCAAACTGATAGCTGAGTCTTAGGGTTGTATAATTTCTGGTGTAGTAACCTGGAAGCTTTTCACCTTCAGAAAAAGAAGTCACTTAACAAGCCTCATGGACGGCACGTGGCGAACAAGAGAGGGTGGTCTACTTTATTTGACCCACACGGCGGGAACAGTTCGCGTCCAAACATTTCGCCCGTCGTGGTCACGGGTGAAAACGTTTTCTATCAGGACACAAAAATACCATCTCAATATTCCTATGAAAGTATCCAGGACGAAAGGAAACGAAGACGAAGAAAAAAGAAGAACATGAAAAAGTTGCTTAAAAAGAAACTGAGAGATGGCTTCAAGTCACACAGTCCTGTGGGGGTAAGATAATTATTCACAAATCTTAATGATTGTTTACTCTCCGACAAGCTCTATGGTTAACCACATGTTCTTAAAGCGCGGCAGGCTGTAACGCTTCTCACGCGTTGAAACAAAATGTATTTTGGGCTGAAAGATCTAAGCAGTGCGCGAGAGTTCATTTACTGCTCTCCTGTAGAGGTATTTCAAACCTAATTGCAAAAAAATTACGTCTAATTGCACCGGAATCTCCCGCAGCTAGTGTTGTTTTTCAAGGGTTAATTGCTCATTTCCCTAATCAGTTTTCTGATTCCTTACATTTAACTTTCATGGATAATTAAGATCTAGCTAGTTTTTATGCAGTCTCAGTTACTTTTCGTGCACGGTAGTACAGCTGCTGGAGTTTCCAAAATGCGTTCTCTTGCGAGACGTCATTCCTTTCATGGGTCATTACACGATGTGAATAAGTGGGGTCAAAATCCTTCTTGATAACTCGTACTGCCCACCTGCGTAAAACGCCCTCTACAACAAAAGAATTGCTATAATACTTCCACATTATTTAGTCTGCAAATGGAAGCTTCCAATTTCTTTTCGTTCAAGCTCACCAGACTTGCTTCGCTTACCCCCAATTATGATAAAAGTAAAGAAAGAGAAAATCGACATTTGGAGAATTTGATCGCAGCCGGTGGCATACTATTAATAGATTTGCTGGCCGAAAAAGTAGTCTGTCCACTAAGTGGAGGCTTCAGGCATGCAAGGATTATGTGATGCGAAATTCATGCTCATGGACTGTTAACGATTTGCGAGCTATTTATAGGATCACGTAAGTTATTTTTTGCAATTAAAAAAAGCATTTAATATCTAAAATGCGAACAACAATGAAAAAAGAGAAGCTGTAATCTTATAAGATTTATTTGTTTTAATGCGAAAATCTAAAACATTTAAAAATATAATAGTAACACCAACGGACTACTGATGAACCTCCAAGTCCGTTCCTTGACTATCAATCACATAACCTCGCACAGAAGTTCAATCTGAAATGGCGGCTTCTTTCATCATGATTAACCACGCTCAATATAACAGAGGACAAAATCGTGTAACAACACTGCGCTCCGAAGGCAGCAAATTATGATAATCTTTTTACCTACAACCCACGCGAAAGAAAACAGACCAAAATTAATCTGAAAATCGCTATTGTTCCGTCCAGAAGTCCAGTTTCTCAAAAGAAAATTACATCTGGGGCCGGTAATACCCCTAAAGGCATTAGAGTATTTGTTTAAGCGCCTACCCCTGGTTACAAGTCCGGCTAATTAATTGCTATCATTTGACAAACCATTTCAGTCAGTTTTCTAGTCTGCCTGAGGTTTTCTGGATTACATTTTCAAATGAAATGCGTTATTCTGCTACCTATCCTTCAATTAGTGAGAGTAAATAAGCCGTTAATAATTTCCGGTGTTTTTATGGCGCTGAGTCACAGACACGATGGAAAAGATAACGCACATGAAAACGGCGAGGCGTGGAAATAGTCCGGGGGAAATAGATGGTGGATTCAAGCACGTTTAACGCAAGCAATTCAACAAATTTTTTTTGTGGTTTTTATATTGCGGGTAACTAAGAAACAAACATATTGTAAACATCATTCACTGACGCAATATCACTTTCGGCTTCCCCATAACAAAATCATATCGCGCATTTCAAAGCGATCAGGATTATCAGTGCATACAGCATGACTGTTTTAAAATTTCTCAGCGCTCTTTTAATAATCAAGTCTCTCAGTCTGTTTTGTAGAGATTCGAACACTAGACAACATCCATTATCAATGACTTTTTTTTCTAAAAGAGAGCTAGGCACGTTGAGTGTGAAGCGCGCTGCCAAGATCATCATTTTGTTGGTTGGTTTACTCTTGGAATTCATTTGTAAAATGCTTACACAAGTTGTCCCAAATGCCAGATTGCGTAATAGAGGTCACTTAAATATGATAAAGTTGATTTTCCAACCTTTCAATACCCTCGTAGGTGCCAGAGGCATTATTGCCACGTATCCTATTTAGCCTCTATTTCGTAAGCGTGGTAAATTATGCCAGAAAAACTCCATCTCGGAGTATTAAAGCCGTGGTGTTTGAAACTTAACAAGGCAGGCCATTTTTTTTTATTACCATATAATACACCTTATTAACAGTTTCAGCGTTGTCATGTCATGTCATAGAGAGAGGCGCAGTTCCCTCACAAAACGGCTGGTCTTCAGCCATCTTACCGAGGTTAAAGAAGAATTAACTTAGTCCAGGATTAGCGCGAGCTACGAACTCAGGCAATAATCTTTTTTTTTTTATCTATTTTTCATCTCAATCTTTTTGAAACTTTTAAAACTTCTCAAAAGAAATTCAGAGGCTTCAGCTATGTCGGTAAAAAGCAAGGATATTTTGTTGCATCCAAGGGATTAAGCACAGTTAGTTGATGTATATCAAGCTGTATTTTTATCTTTAGTTTGATCGTTTGTATTGTTGATCTCTTTGACCTTCTTGAAGTGTAGAGTTATAAGCACAGGTGGCCGATTCAACAGAAAAACATGTTAAAAATAGGTTGGCTCGTTTCTATATTTAGAAAAACGTTTAACTTCAAGCAAACATATAAACATCAATATTGAAGGGGGCCCTCAAAAGAACTACCTCACCGGTTTGCCAGTTACTTTCAAAACCGCATTAGTTTTAGTGATAGACTTAAAAAATCAAAAGAAATGGAATAAACAAATATGATAACAAGAGTACATTTGCGTTTTACGAGGATTAATGTTCACTCATACATTTTACATAGCTAAAAATTCGACTTCAGTTTGTTAACTCAAACAATGCTATCCGCAGGAGCTGACGTTGTTTGTCGGTCTATTAAACATTCTATCTGCTCTGAAGAATTTTTCTTCAAAAAGCGAATCCCCTTTGCGACACAGAGTTTATAGAGCTTCACACAAAGCGAGCATTTTCTGACATCACTGATCATACAATATTGACAGAGCGCTTTTTTATTTATCATTTGTACTGATTGACTGTCAACAAAAGCACGCAATTTAGATCAATCTTTACCACTTTATGGTGGGAATAATGGTGAATGAAATGTGCGAATGGAAAACAGTTACATTGTAGTCATTGTAGATTGAGCGCCATGACACGCGCGGGATAATGACTAATTTCATCTCTTCTTGTGATACTTTAGGACCAGCATGTACAATCGTACCCAAAGAGAAAATGTAGAAACTGGAACCAATGCAAAAAAGATGAATGTTGTATACGGTTCAGTAGTACGAGTGGATATTGCAAGCGACGACCACAAAAGGGACATAGATGCAGGCCTATTCTCTTGGTGAGTAGTTAGATGAAGGACCCGGTCTGCAGGTCTTTTCATTCTTTCTTGTTTGGGAAAATACCCCGTGATTTAAGAAGAAATGTTGCAAAACGACCCATGGGAGAAGCTATAACAGCCAAGCCCATTGGTTTTCCAACTGGTCGGACTACTGTATTTCTCTTTCAAGAATTTTGCGTGAGTTTAAGGAATCAAATTTTGAGCGAGAAAGGTTAATAACTGCTTTTGAAAGTCTTCTGCATTTGTGGAGTTCACTTGCCCGAGAAGAAACCGAAGTCCAACAGTTTCGATCTGATTTTTCATCGGTGGATTGCGTGCGACAAAACTGTACTGATAAAGGTTTCAAACGTGAAACTTTGCTCTCCTATCTTTTGGCATTTTTGCTTTATCAAATTCTATTAGTAGCTAAGCCAATCTTGAATCATGATAGCCATTATTAGATGATTTGTTCAGTTATTTAGCGAAGTGATAGATATTACTTATCTGGAAGAGATAAAAAAAATGAGCTACTCGTAAAAAGAAATACTAAAAAATAAAAGGAATAAAGACGGTTAGATTGTAATGACGGAGACATGTTCAAACGCTGTGCTAAAAATAATGTAATTACACGGTCTGTGACGTAGTTAGCTCTTTCATCACAGTTTCTAAACATAGTGCGTTCATGTGTTGCCAGCAAAAAGGAAAGTAGATGGTCAATAAAGCGAAAGTTTAAAACGAACTTTGAATGACAAAGTTGAAGATCGAGGCATATTTTTTTTAAGTACAATATTTAGACTGAAGCGCAACTTCTTTACATGTCGTTTAGCATGTGCACGGAAACGTTCGGAAGCAGGAAAAGTTTGAGTGAGGTTGTTTGAAATCTACCGTGTCCAGGAATAGTCGATCTTGCCTAATGTGTACCACACTTATATCTACGATATGCTACTAGTGGGAAGCGCAGTGACCTCAGGGTTAGTGCGCTCTCCTCTGGATCGAGAATCCCGGGTTCAGAGCCCTGGCCGGGAACATTGCTTTGTGTTCTTGGGTAAGACACTTAATTCTCATAGTGCCTCTTTTTACCCAAGTTTATAAATGGGAACCGGCGAACTTACTGCTAGAGGTAACCCTGCAATAGACTAGCATCACATCCAGCGGGAGGGAGTCGAAATACTCTTAGTCGCTTCATGCTAATAATGGAAATACTGAAAATGGAAATACATGGAAATACTAAAATCAAAGTCTCTGAGCTGACACGTACAAGTACTAAACTAAACCAAAACTTAAAAGTTTTGCCGCCATTGCAGAAGAGTCTTTCTGAATACAGAAAGTGGAGGGAGAAATTTTAGTTCAGAACATACGAAAATTACTTGGTGTGCAGCCAAATTGATTGTAGCCTTCTCCTTCTTGCTGTTTTAGCCTGGTCTTAGAGATTGTCCTTGTGACAAAGGGCTCACGTGTACCCGCTACAAGACAACAAGATGGGGCATTAAGAAACACAAATGCGAACGTTTAAAATTTGACGAGGATGAACAAGAACAAAGATTTGTATGAATTCTGCTCACGGAATGGGAATAGGAACTTCCATGGCTCCAGAAGATTGGAACTCAAGGGTCACGTGGAGTTTGATGACAAATCATCGCAATAAAACGACGTGCGAGACAAACATTTGGAGTCGAGACAAACATTACGCGTCGAAGTTTCACCCCATCAAGGTTTGTTTCATCTATGTGCCTGGACACACGGAACAAAACAGAACATGAACTATTGTGTAGAATCGTGTAGGAAAATTATTCACTGTTTCTAGTATTAGGTAAGTAGTATAAACAGGCCATCAAAGAGTCTCGCGGGCGCACATAAGGTTTTTTCAGACCGTAAGTGACCAGCTGAGACAGGCCAAGTCCTAGTCCTTTTTCATCAAATAGTTTAAAATAGCTCTTTAAATTGTTATTGGACATGATTGCATGTAAATCGTTCCGTTTGAATTGTTTTCACCTTTAGTTAATAACAGCTACGACAGTGCATGCAAGCTAGCTCTCTTTAATTATGTCTCAAACGTTGCTAATGATCCAGAAAAACGTTTATGGACAAAAATACCGAAGTTGAACTCACCAGTTATGTACCAGACAGTCATGTCAGGGATCAACTTTGAGTTGATTTAGGTTAATTAGCTGCCACAGCGAGTGGAGCTGCCGTTTCGAATGTTAGCCCTTTGTTAGAGCAAATTTGATCATTTCCTAATTTCAGGATTACAACAGAGAAAAGTCAGGCAACTTACAGAATGTAAAAGTAAGGAAATTGTTTTTATGGCTGCACTGAGTTTTGTAAGCTTTTGTTTTGTAGGCGGCTATCTTTTAGGGTCAGAAAGAAACAATTCTTTTTCTGATCATTTGTTTTTTTGTTGTTGTTTTGATGTGTAGCAACCAAATGCGATCTAGAAGGGCTGATGATCGAAACGTCGATCAAATTTGACTTTGGTTAAAATGGCGATAGTTGAGAATTGATATACAAAAGTGTAATCGTACTCATCCCATTTGTCAAAAATTTCTGTTTACTTTGTTGTTGTTATATGAATATTACGACCAGGAAAACACATGCAAATGTGCCAACTGTCTGTCTCCAGTTATTATGGATCCAGATTAATCTAACGCAGCTGGTTCTTGTATTTAGAAAACGTTAGTTGAAGAATATTATGACGACTTACCTCTCAAGAGGGGTGTAATTTACAAAAGACATTCATTATTTCTTATTTATACGTCGTTTTCATCAACTACATGTATATAGGTTCAGTTAAACCAAATTAACAAAAAAATTCATTGTGCATGTCACTTGCAACTCAGTAAATCGTAAGCAACCTCTATATATGAATAATCTTAAACATATTTTAAGCCTGTATTAGCTGTACGGTGTGAACGGCATCTACAGTCATATCTTCACTAATAGCGTTTGTACTTATTCCAGAGAGTGAGGTTCACTGATTGCTGAAATAAGTGATCATATTACCTACTATCTTGAGTCATAATTCTGTTTGTTTGTTTCTGTTAACATAATAAAGGCCGGTTTTGGGAGTTGTAAATAGAGAAGTTATCACCTATTACTAGTTGATTAAGCGCATTTTGGCGCCCACAGATTTCTTAATTAAGATTTTGAATTTCACAATTAGAAAGGCAATGGCAGCAAAAAAGACCTGGTGTCTTTACAAACCGAAGAATGCGCGCACCTGAAAATTAATTTAACAGAGCATCGGCTCCTGACTCTAACTAACAATAAGAAAACAAAGTTAAGTAATGAGTTATTTCGCAATGAGCCATTCTTACTAATGCAATAGATGCTATGGAGATAGAATGAAACACATAGCTACGATAAAGTTTCAGCAGAAATAAATCATATTCTAGGCAATTCATCACTGTGTGATGAGCACCGTAACTCATACAAACCAATTTATTTATGTAGGATAATGGTGCTAGATTATGAAATAAAACACTGCAAAATGTGATGTACAGCTTTCTTTTCCTTCTTCTCATTTTCCAACAAGTTTATTGGTCTGTTGGCTGATTGTTAATGTAAAATTAAAGGAGCTTTGTAACAATATAGTAAGTCATTCTTGTAATTTCTTTCAAAGGAAAGCTCAAGATTGGACCGTGATTTGTTGAAAAAAAAAACATCAAAGAAGTAAAAATAGAACTAAAATGAACATGATTGGATACTGCTGGAAGATGAATTACGAACGAGAGACTTGCAAAATATTTTGCAAAAAACGAAACTCTTCGAACATGACCAAGAGCCGTACAAGACATTCTAGTGTGAACGGAAAGTTAAACAGGGTGGAATTTAATTGTCAGTATCCGGCTAGTGTGAACGGGATACATGTTATCTATTTTAGGAGCTAAAATGCTGTTTTCAATTTTTCTCGATACAAATGTAGATGTGGAGAGGCCCTTACATGACACGAACAGTGATCACAAGGCACCGAGAAGTCCTTCAGGGCCGGTTTTGGAGGGGCATGGAGTCAATCAAAACCCGAATTCGAATTGTTGTGGTCCTTTCAACGCGTTTAGCTTTTTATTGGTATCGTAAAAAATGTCATTTGGACTAAACAGGTTTCTTAAGGTGCTTAAAGAAGAACAGAGGGCTTAAAATCGAGTTATTAAAAAATGTCGTTTTGATCCGAATTAATTATTGGATGAGGTTTTTGTGATATCCGGAATAATCAAGGTCGAGGTAACCCAATCTAATAATTGTTCTATTATACATTGTTTTAAAGAGAATAACGACAAACGCATTATCGCACCAAACGCAGTTATTTTCTACGGATTATTCACTAATCTACTAGCAGATTAGTGAATAATCTGTAGGCTGCGCTTTTTCCCAGAATTAAATGTAGGCTTTTAGCCAATAAGAAGACAGACGGTGACTACAATGTATAATAATGATAATTCGCAAGCCGATAGTTTGGCTTATGAAATTATTCCTAACCACATTACTCGGAGAGGAAAACTCCGTAGTCAGGGACTGTCCAATCCTCGGGAGCAAAAACCATGGCGGCTGCACATTTAGCTACAATACTATGCGAACGTAACAGAGCCATAAAGTACAAGGAAAGCCATATTTTTTTGTTACAATATTTTTCCCTGTGCTAACGACATTGTGTACGCTAGGTCTGAAGGTTTTCTTACTTTTCTCCACGTTTTTATGAGCGTCGCTAAACTTTTCGTGTGCTAAGAATTATGGGTAAATGTACCAGTTGCCATGTTTTTCCTGCGGAGGATTAGCCATATTTTATAAATACACGTTATCTTCTGAACTACACAAGTCCTTTCACCCGAAAGCTTATCGTTGCTTCCTTTGGCATAAACATTATTTTTCTTGTTGACCTTCCTAGCTCACAGCCAAAATCACTCGCACCATGATGTATTTCCTTCGTTGATTTTCACTTTCAACAGCATCTTTTTCGGATCCTGAAGTTTCTCGCGGTCCTTCAATTTCAAAATATGATCTCTAGCCATTGGTTCTCTTTTAAGTATGCTTGCGCACAAATAGCCTGTGAAAAGGCTCCGGCTGGAAGGTGCTGACAGAGGCTGGAAGGGCAAGAAGAACTGGCTGGGAGTGAAGTGGCCGAGGGGGGAATGGGGTTAGAGCTGTTCCCACGCACACATTAAACTTGCCAAGCAGTAAGGTAGGGATCAACCTTTGCCCAATAAGACCAAAAAGTGGGGTTGGCGGGGGGGAGGTCACCGTGCTCTTTTTCGAGATAACATGCATTAACAGCTTTAGTTATTTTAAGACGATCTTACTTACAACTATCAGCAATAAAAGAAGCTACATTAGTGAAATTTAGATCAGTTAAACGTACTAAATTCAACATAACTGAGCCAATTAAACAAACTTGTGCAGCTGATGTCGTTCCTTGAGGTGGAATAAACCTTGAAAAATAATACATGTCAGTCTTGCCCGTCCTCATTCGAAGTAAAGGTCAAATATTGTAACTTCTCACGTACAGATTTTTTTCTGTTTCTTGTCAAAATGGAGAAATTCAGCAAAGGAAGTGTTCTATGAAAACATAAGATGGGGTCACCGACCATTTCAGAGAGTAAACTGCCGGTAAAGTTAATTCAACCGGTACCACTCCACCGCCCCCATTGCGCAGAGACAATGGGCGCAAATGTCATTTGGGTACACCTGAACAACACGGTTTGCAAGATTTAAAAAAGGAGGAATTTATTTCAACACTCTCATTTGTAACACTCTGGTTTGATATCATTTTTTTTTAAAGTAATTTAGGTGAATGTAAATTACATACGAATTGCAGGAATCGCTAGATAATCTGACTCCGGAACTATGGCTTTCAATATAATTATATTATTTAATACCACACTCACACTGCTAAAATAAAACACACTCTCCCATTGTAGGAAGAGCTCTATATAAATATGGGTAACTTTGTTCCATTAAACAGAAACATATTGCTAATACTAAGAAATGATTCACTAGAACTTTAATTAAGTGAGTACAAATCAATCTAACTGAAAATTTCATGGTTTCATGTAGGGTCAATTTTGATTCCATGGCTGCTCCTTAAAGAGTTAGGCCGTTTTTGGGCCAAGCTGCTATTGAAATTCAGTAATACCTCCACGAGTAACCTTTTTAACATGGTGTGAAACTATCGTGACCTAACCTATTTAATTAAATAGCAAGGGATAAGCAAAAAGCACAAGGTGCTGCCCAGCAGCTAGCTAAGGCGCCACTGCAAGCCAAAGCCTCATTTAGATCTTGTTTTAACGTTGAGAAAGAGAGAGGAGATTACGGACAGTTTGCTTTTTCTTTCTAAACATTGACAAAACAATTGCTGAGAAACACTTTTGTTGACCTCACTGGAAATGGGGCTTTTTGACTGGTTTATTTCGGCTCAAAATTACGGATCGTGAAAGGGACAGCCAAACTAAATGGAAGCTGAAAGGTTGGATTGTAATAATCACGTAATGAGGTCTGTTTATGTTTATACAGCAACACGCAAAAGGTATGTACCGTATTTTCTCGACCGATTTAACGCGGGACCGCTAATAAATAGCGGCTTGAAATTATAACATGTTTTCAGTTATTCATGAAAACAAATCAGGCTGCGCTTAGAATTAACGCCGGAAACGCAGCCGGCGTTTCATCGCGATATACGGTATATACGTCATTCGTCTTAAAACGACACCAGGAGACAATCTTTTTCGAAATATGGCGCCTGAGTCAAGTCGATATACGCTGGAAATATATATTTAAATGGGGAAAGATAAATAACAAGTTCGTTAATTTGTTTTTGCCTTCCAGGGAATTTCAGAGGCAAAAGCAAAGTTGACTTTCAAAGGAGACTTTCTCCAGGAAATCACAGAGATAAATTTCAGCTACATGTATTGTTGTAAGTTAAAACTATGAGATATTGAAGCTTAAACCTTCCGCGCACGTGATCCTAAATAGCTTTCTTTCCCCTGCACATATCTGTGTTTTTAAAACCATTGTCGAATTTTGCACTTATTCATTAAAAATAACCTTCCCCTTGTCTTTATTTTTAAATTTGTCCTTTCTTTCCTGTGATTGGTTTGTTCATAGTCAGTCTGTTAAATATATGATCCTCAGTGCAATACCATGTTATACGCTTTTTACGTATTCGACTGAACCTTAAACAATTGCTGAGGAATATAAATAAATTATCTAAACATAAATAATGCCGTAAAAGGTGGACAACACCTTTTGTTAATTTAGGCAATATCTTAAAGCCGCCTTCATTACGCTTTTTATCATTAACCGTACACACAAGTACAAAATGCAAACATTGCGTTGTTTAGAGCAGTCTTGTGTTCACAGCGGGTATTCTGTCTGAGGTCAGCAAGGCGTGTGAGAGTTCCCATCAGATTGTTTATGAAAAAAAGATCACCATTTTCATAAATCAACTGCTCTTAAAGCCAGAATGATGGAATAGGCCGTTTTTCTTCAATTTCTTTCTCACTCACTCTCATTGGTATAATTGGTTGGCAAGTTCCGAAGTTTCTCTTTTTCTTTTGCTGTTTTGTCTGATTGGAAGAACTTTCAGTCACTCGACAAGTGTAGCCTACAGCACAGCATAGCTATAAAAAATGGGATGAAGTATAGTATATTAATACGATTTTGGTAAATAATAATAATGGTAACTCTTGTTAGCAGGAAAAAAATTAGCACGAGGCGTAAGCTCGCTGAGTTTTAAGTTCTATTGCGTGCCTTGGTTTTATTTACTTAAAGGCGTTTTGGTCGAGAGAGGACCGGAGGTAGAGGCTTATCTTAGTAGGTGGCTTTATTTCAAATCATAAATCAGCTTAATACATATATCTAGGGGATATTGACTGGCTCGTTTGAGTCGGGTTTGGACGTGTATGTACACTAAAAGTTTGGACGTGTGTGTGTACACTAAAGGTATGCATACATTACTTGATAAGGACTTGTTATCACCTGGACTTAAAACAGAAGGGCTTCATGAAACTGATGGCTTTTACGCTTCATGACGCTTGTTAAACTATAAACGTAATGAGAAATGAGTTAATAAACGTTACCTTTCTCGATCCAGGTTCGCACAGATGATTCTTCTTTCCGCAATGCTTTACACGAGGTCTGCTTTTTGCTTTCTTGGGTGGCTATTAAAGACAAATCGGTCAAACGTCAATAAACCGGCATGGTTATTTAGATAAGGACTGTCTAGCGGAAGGGAGGAGGGAGGGAGACTGGATAAAGGGCTTAGCTTGAAATCCGTCCTTTGAACCCAGTCCTTTGAAAACGAACAAGAAGGGCGTGTGATTTGCAAGGAACTTTACTTTGCATACTTTTGTGCTAGAGCCCAAATTTTATTTCTCTTGATAAATTTATATCATGCAACGCCAGCTAAAGAATATATATGTATTTTAATTTTCAGTTGCATAAAATTTCAATTGTATCTATTAAAGCCATTTCATAGCCTCACAGTTTTAATTTCGATCAGGTAAGGACTACGTACAAATTTGTAAGGTTTATTTAATATTCTAGTTCTACTCGTAATTGTGTCAGCAGCAGTGATCAAGGACAGCAGTTTGTACAACTAAAACAATGGGGCTTTTTTGCAAAGCTTCGCGACATTGTAGAAAGGTCACGACGGTAGATACAGAGCAGAATCAACTGTACCTTCTGTCTTTATTCCCATTAATATTGGTTACAAATATAGATAGTTATTCATCACCTTTAGTAGTGTTGAATTAAACTTCAATCCATGTTCACAGATTATCTCTAATAAGAAAGTTTAACTGAAACCAGCCTTCAAGGTAGCACACGTGTATTTAAACTACATAACTTGAACCTAGTCTTATTTAGAAACGGATAGCCCTTCACCAATTTCCCGCAAACACCAAAGAAAAAGTAGAGTAATCGCGAGAACTGCATACCAACGTTTTGCTGCTGGGTTTATAAGAACATATCACAAGTCAAAATAGGACAACAGATACATTATTGCTGATTATTGATAAACAACATTGAGGTTATTTGTTTTGTTGATTTCCGTAGTTTATCTTGCACAGGGGCAACAATAACGGAACGTAAGTCTATTACACCGTTTGTGGTTGCTTCGACGATAAGGGAACAAATAACTCTGCTGGTTCTCTTTCGTTTTTCAGTTTTTATACGTCCTGTCTTGCGGGGCACTTTACTGAGTAATATTCTCTTTTCTTTACTAGGTACAACCCCAAAATTGTTAAATTTGGCCAGTTTAAGGAAACCATATCCTGCAGTCACTATTTTTCTACCAAAAATAGGAAGATAAGTTTTAATCCTGATGAAGTGTATATAATAACTAGCTATAATTGAGAATTTCATACACAATTCGTGTCGGCTTTCATCAGGAATAAGGCGATAATCCTCAATGAGTGAGGGAAGTTTGCCTCCCTGAAGTTCCAATAACATGCGAACACAAGCCGGGATGTAGTCATCAATGCATCTAGTCCATCGAAACATTCTGATAAAAATCCATCCTTATCCCGGTTTTGCGGTCATCTGAATGATACAAAAATTGTTTCTTGGAGAAAACCGAGGGGTAAATAATTAGAAAATTACTTCAAATCATGCAAATGTTACCGTGACACAAGGTTCTAATTTTGGACCACCCTGAGTCAAATACTTGGCTTAAGTCGTTTGAGAGAATTACTAATCTTGTTAATTCCACCCAAAAGAAAGAGAAATAACGAATTCACTGTAGTTTCCACATAAGCCCCCGTTTCCTTGGTTATTATAGATTTTCTACAGTCAAGAACGCATATTTCATGTATGAGGTAATTAAACCGTCCCAACGTTACGCCAATCTTTTCCTTTCCTCCAATAAGGATTTCCGGCTCATATTTTTAAACGGAAATTTGAAAATGGTCATCAACTGGTATATCGAGTAAAAAATCTCTATTTCGAGAACTTCACGAAAAGTCGAAATGTAAAACATTTTCAAAGATCGACCAGGTCTATCGATCGTTAAACGACCACTGTGTAGCCAATGAGATTTCGCGTTTATATGATAGTTCTAGTCTGTAATTGGTTGTAATCTCAACGAAAGAAGAAAAAGTCCTTCTTGGCAATACAGGTGAAAAAACCTTCCTTTTAGGCCTAAGGGTTACTCTTTTTCCTCGAACTCATTGTTTAAAGAAAGAAAGTGTTTGGATATCTGATCGTAATTAGCAAAGATTTTTACAATTTTAGTTCTCTATTTTCACTTTTTTTTTTTAGTTTCGATTGAGTGTATATGACAAATACTCGAGACAGGGTTTGACCACATTTCCAAACACCTTGCAGTTCATCAAAACTATTCCGCTGTGCGTCATGTTTTCAACTCTCTTCTCGGTTTTTGGAATTGTGGTCAAACACCGTTTTTCGTCTTTGATATATTACGAAACATCCTCCTGGGTGAGAGAATCTGTTGGTACAAACATTGACGCCATCATAGGAAGTTATTCCCGCGGTACTTGGTAAGGAAACGCGATATAATCCTCAAAAACTGTATGGGATTAAGCGTAAGGTAATCCATGAAGCAGTAATGACAGGCGCGCACTAGTCCTCAGAAATATTCTACTCATATAAATGGTATGTTCTGAGCTGTCATAGCCTTGCAAAAGTTGCCTTTGATGACAAACAGACAAAGGCAAAGACCCCATCAACTTCTGACAAAATTTCCCTTAAGTTATAACCTAATGTCACCGTCTTAAAACAAGCTGTTCTTGAACATGATTTTTTGTTCCTGTTTGTTCCACTGTAGATCTTTGTAACGCACATTACCTCTATCTATTACATTGCTAAGTCTCAGCTGTGCGCTGGTTTACGTTTACAATAATGAATATCAACACAGTCCCGCGAAGTTTAGTTACAGGTAAAGTCTGCTAACAAATATAATGGATTTTCAATGGGGATTTCCTTTTTCTACTTATTAGATATGATATATAACAAGCTCTCACTTTAAAACTCAGGGCCGGCCCCACATATGAAGGCTTCGACACTTCACATTATGCATGACTCTTAACATAGCGTCATAGACATATGCCACATTTCCTTACTAGAGTGACTATTTCAGGTCCCCCGATCGTTCTTCTGAACGGAATTTGCATCACGAAAATACCCTTTATATTTTTAGTGGATTTCACACAACTTTTGGCCTGCTCCTTGGCAACATCCCCTCCTGGTTATCCTTTTCTTATTCTTGGATTTGGTCTCTGTTAGGGCGCAATTTCCAACAGTAAATTGTTCCTCTGAGACTTAACAAAAACTAAAGTTGCGTCCAAAATATGGGACTAGCGTTTGTTCCTTTTTAATAAATAAAATAAAATAAAATAAAATAAAATAAATTACACTATTTAGAGAGGAAACTACATCAGCATTAGCTGGTTTTATGCGGGTCCTCTACTCCGGTCGAATTGGAATTTGAAGAGTTGGTTTTTGTGGAGGAAGGAAAACCGGAGAACCCAGAGAAAACCCTCAGAGCAAGGCGAGAACCAACAACAAACTCAACCCACATATGACACCGAGCCGGAATCGAACCCGGGCTACATAGGTGGGAAGCGAGCGCTCACACCACTGCTCCCCGGGCGGGTTAAATTGAAATCTTGATCGTCCACAGGTTATGCGGAGAAAGGGCAAGATCTCAAGCTCTAACACCCTAAAGTACAAGCTCACAAAAAAAAGGACAAAGAAACAAAAAATACTATTTCCGGTTGAACTTTGCTTTTTCTGCTTATCTTCAGTTAACAAAATCCAGAGATTGCTATTATCCAGAGAAAGTACCCTTGTACCCTAAAATACAAGTTCAGGGAAAAAAGAAAGAAACAAGAAAGGATTTCCGGTTGAACTTTGCTTTGCGTTTTGGTCGTCTTCAATTAACAAGTCGCAGACTGTTGTTCCGTGATGATTTCTTCATATCCGTTTTCTTTAAGGTTGGAAGACGAGTCGTCGGAAATCTTAAAAATTAAGTAGCCAAGTATAGAAATATTGGAAATTGATCCCCTGGGCACATCACGGATACAGGCACTGGACATGCAGATCGAAAACAAAATATGTTTGTTCCAAAAAACTGTAAACAAAAATAGACCACCGGGTAGGTAGGCAGGTCAACACGCTAAAGGTTCATTGAAAATGAAATGCACGGTATACATGAATTCTTTAGCAAATTCTCACCATTAAGGTCGTAAGTAATAAAAAGAACAACAATTGTGATTGTGGCCACTGATATAACAGCCTGGATTTGAACAAAATGAACAACTATAGTGCTAAAGGCCACTGACTTACTTTGGGCGTGGATTTAACGTACGACCTTAGACACACGGTGACCCTCATTTTTCTTTTGATAGAGATCTTTATCTGTGGTTTTTCTACGTTTTCCGAAAAAAAATGAACAAAATAAATATTAAAAGTTTGAAAAAGTTATATGAAAAGGATGACAAAACTTAGAGTCGTCAACGGTAAAGACCCAATTACAAAACATATGGCAAAGATAATTTGCCTCCGTTAACTCATCTTGAATATTCTTATTATAAAAAAAAACCCTGTAGATAATGCCGAGGTACCTGCGCCCATTTTTCAAAACACCAAAGTTTTATTTACGCGATTTATGTCTTAAAGACTGAAACGAAGTGGGCGACCCCAATTGTTTTCTCCATTTCCAACACTGATAGCTTGGGCCCCGTTCACACTACGCCAGAGAAATTTGAAAACGAAACAATCACCTCGTCATTTTGGATTTGTGTTTGTGGAAAACTCGGGCTGGACATGATTATCGTGCTGTCATCGTTTTCGAATAGCTTCGTTTTCAAATGTTTTCCGTCCACACTAAAACGCAAAGCCGGCGTTTTGAAATTGCTCAGGTTTGAAAAGCTCGTTTTTCGTGACAGACTAGTGTAGACGGTAGGCCTAACCGTAGAAAAATAAAAGCTGCGTTTTCAGATTTTCCGGTGTAGTGTGGTCGGGGTCTCATGTAATCTGAAATGGAATAAAATGATAGGAATGTAGGAAAAAAAAAAGGCACAGGGCCATCATCTAGTTGGCGTTCTAGTTGGCATACGTGCGCGTATTCAGGTGAATTTCAGATTTGCTTATGTTGGTGACCACAACATGTCTTGTTAGCTATCATCATTTCCATTTAATAACTGACAGATTAATCAAAGTTACTGCCGAAAGACAGTAAAAAAGATTCAGTTTGTATTTGGCCCATGGCCAAGCAGCTGAAGTAAAAATTTACCGGCGAACGCAACAATAGGCATTTGAACTTTAGTTACATGCTTTAAACAATCATACCACCGTAACATGCTTTAAACAATGATACCACCCTAGCCTTATTGTTGAGTTTACTGCTGTTTTACAATCGATTTTAATTACTTGCCAATACTGACGAAAAGGATTCAGTAAACGAAGAGGAAATTAAAACCACAGAGTGTTAATCAATACTTACAATTCGCAAGAATAAAAAACGTGTTGAAAATCAGACGATCGATTCCTCTTAAGGAGAATTCGTTGACAGAACGGTACCCCATCGATCAGGTACCCCTTCTTAAGGGAACTCTTTGAAAGGACCCAGTAGCCGAACAAAATTTTGCACAATTTGTAAAGTTGCATCATACAAGAAACGTTAATGCTGCAACACAGAGAGAATCTGTGTTGTTCTTGAATTAGAAACGACAATGCAGTTTATTCCGCCTAGCGTCAAAAATAGAAATTCAAGAAGTGTAAGAGCTTTTCATGTGCGTCAGTCATGTTCCGTTAATTAACCACCAATAAAACGTCTTATCAATATTGCGTTTCTGTCTAAGAAGGAGATGAATCCTCCAATAATAAGTTTGAGGACCACAGGCGGTGACATAATACAGAGCCACAAATGTAGAACTTTACTTACTCTGGTGTCGATAGCCTCAAGTAGAAGGAGAACTATGAAAATTACACTAAGGAATTTCGTCCAGAATGTTCTTGAAATCGTCATGTTTATCTATAATAAAAAAGACCAATAGATAATAAAAAAGTTAATATTGGGATGGGAACAGTATGAACAACAACAGAAAAGTGCAAAGCAAAAGGCGTTGCCGTCCTAAAACAAAGTTAGTCTCTATACAGTGCAGTCCCAAACGTTATTGACATTGATTCGTCCTTTAGGTTTTAAACATCTTTGATAGAACATTTGCCGGATTTGAGTATCATTACTTTTAAAGCCATGCTGTAGGTGCCTACAACTTAAGTACTCCCTTCCAAATTATAGAATTACTGCGAAATACGTATCTATAGGATAGAGCAAACGTTTTCTTTAAAAACGAAAGGTTAAACCGCTAGCAGATGCCAAAACCACACGGCACGTTTGCCAGAACATCTAATGCAAGTTTAGAGTACAATACCTGCAAAATATGTTGGTTACCTGAATTTTTTTTTTGTAGAAGCTGTTGGACTTTATCAGGCAAATATTTGCCGGCACACCGAAGTTATTGACTGGCAAACGCCGTCGATGGCTGCTGTCGGCTATGAATAATCACTTCAGATGACAGCAAGGCAGCCTCGTACGATTTTAAATAGGGAATTTCTTCGAATAAACATCTGTGGGGTGTCGATTGTTTAAAATCTATCCAACTAACCTCTTACTATTCACTCATTTCAAACTTAATGTAACTTAAGACACCGGAAATACAACTTGGAAGGGGTCTTTCATTCGGCGTATTGAGTTCACTTTCATTTTCAAGGAGTCTCCGCCATGTCTCATTTTTGTTTTACATAAACAAAACAAACGGCTTTCTGAGTATTACTCTAACGTTTCATCCCATTGAGTACAAGATCCTTCAGCTCCTTTAGCCGAGTCAAAAATAGCGCTTGTTTGCTCTCTCAGAAGAGGCTACCGGCCAGTTTTGTATGTGTTAACTTAACTAGTTTCGGAGACACACTTCACCTCCCAGTTCTCAGGTAACAGTTCACAAACGTTTAGTTTCACCTCAGTGCGAAACTCTCCTGTCTACCTATGATTAACACGGGCATCGTATTCCTTTCTCGAATCACTTGGAATGAAGAGGTGTTATGAACGCTAACAATACGTTAAAGAAGTATAGCTAAGGAAAACTTTCCAAAGAGTATTTGGACAGTTTAACAACTACACTGTAGGGCTGGTAGTATCGACACAACACTGTTATAAAATCAGTGCATTAATTTTAACAAACATTTGAAAACTGAACCAAAAGTGATGTGCTAATTAATATAACAAGATAATGTTATAGGACATAATCCAACGTAATCCGTGATGCAATCCGGTGCGATTTGTGTGAGGCGTTTATATCCCCCGACATTAAGCTGTTAATTTGCACTTCCCACGAGATAGTTCGCAGTTCTGTCAAGAACACAAGAAGAGGACGAACTCTCATAGTGGGTATAATGGCTTCCAAGCGGAAACTCATATCAGTGTCTTTTGACACATGTTTCATCTACATAGTATTCCTTAACCACGAATTGACCCTAGAAACACTGAAAACTTATACTGATAAAGTATTAATTTTGTTGTCGGACGCTCTTGATTGGACCGGAAATTGATCGAATTCTAAGGGAAACAAAAAGCTAAACATGGAAATTTCCGAGGAATTATTAAAATCTAAGCAAACATCAATATTTGGTGAGCAAACAAATTCCATTTCAGTCACTAGATAATTGGGGTCATTAAATACATATTTACCAACTAAAGCAAGTGAAAAGCTACAGCTATACAGTTTCATTTCCTTTCAATGGTCAGCTTCTCCAAAAGCCGTTTGTTGAAAGTCCAGTCGTTTCCCCGTTTTTAAACCTATTTATTTCTGTTGTAGTACCAACATGATGGCACAACGAAAAAGTAACGTAAATATAACGCATATTACTACTGAAAGACGGGATAAATAATAGCAGTTCAAATAACATCTTCCTAAACGCTTATACGGATCTTCTCCGCAAGAACTTTGGTCGCAACTCAAAAGGGCCGATCCTTAAATAAGGTTCTTAAATAGACAGCTATCTGGTGATGTCACTCACGCAATCAGAACCCGAAAAAAAGTTAGGTGTTTGTAAGCAACAGGACAGGACATGGGTATTTCTGCCGTTTGTTCGTTCAGTGTTTATTACCTGTTACTGATGTACTGCTTGCTACTGGTGTTGAGGACAAATACAAGAAATCTCAACCAGTTTGGAATTAAACGGATATATCTTCAATACTAATAATGGGATGAATGGGGTACCGGACGAGAAAGGTTTAAAGTGCTAAACCAAAATAATCTCATATAAAAAAAATCTTCATAAAAAAAAAAATCAGTGTCAGTTCTGCAAACAACTGGGTGCAGATATAAATAAGGCTTGAATAAAGATTTCATCATTTTGTTTCTTAAAGCCGGTAAAGCTTGTTGAACCAGTGATAGATATTGGCAGAGCATTTCAAATTTTCTCACCTTGATAGAGTATCGTAAATTGTTTAAGATTTATACGACAGTGGTGTGATCGATGTTGATATTGTAGTGTTCGCGGGATTCAAGGTTGCATGCAGTTTCGCCAAAATATGTTTGTCCACAATTGCATGTGCCTTTGTAAATGACGTGTGTCGGGTGGGTGTTGCTATTCCATTTTCAAAGAAACGAGACTGACATACGCGAGTGCTGTAGATGAATTCTCATAGCAGGATGGATTAAAATCATTCAACAAAGTTACTAAGATCATCTCGTGGAAATGACCTTGGGTTAGCTCAGCCCTTCCCGTCTCAGGGTGCTCCAGGTAACGGGGCCCTGTGATGGGTATCTAATCTTGATATTACCAGAAATATACCATTAGCCTTTGTACAGGTGTCCGTTCTCTGACATGTCTACCATGCTTATATATACGGGCTTATTTCATATTTCTTAGGTCAGAGACATAATTCTTCAAACACCAACCAAAATGCCCTGCTACGATTGACCACTATATCAACTGTGAGTTCAAGCAGTACATGTACAGTATGCAATTTAAAAGAGCGTACATAGTTCGTCAAGGTGACTGGTATTAGATACCGTGACAACAGCGCAACGTCAAATACTAAGAATTAATGCTTACATAGGTGGCTTAGTGATAATAAGAACAAATGATTTAGTTAAGTGCCGATGGTGACGCTAAAACAAACGTGTATTGCAAATAGAACGGAACTTTCAATCTATTGTTGCCAGCCCAGGTGTGCTATAATAAGCCAGTTTCGATAAACAAAAAGTTGTAACTTGGCGCCGAGGCTTAGGGGAGTACGTAATCAAGTTAAAAGAAAAGAAACCAACAGAGGTTAAGGGAGAACAAATGATTTCGTTTGGTTTATTCCCCAAAGCCTAGGTGCATGCTAAATTAAAATTTTAATAGATCGAAATTGGCCTATTGAACTTTGATCAGTGGATTATATTTTTCAGAACTTTGGCTGTGGGTAAGAAAGTGATTCAATTTTTTTCTTTGTATTAAACTTCAATATGTAAATGGCTGTCATCGACAAGACAATATTTGACAAGTTTACTTTCATGACAAACATGTCAGGTGTAATTCCACTTTCTATTGCCAAGTCCGCCTCTAGTAGCTGACAGCTCCGTCACTATTTGATTGGCAAGTAATATTATTCCCATGAAGTCAGAGGATACTGTCTGTAACGAATAAGCCATTATAATTTTGATAGGGTGTTGGGTCGTTGGACAATTACCAAAATAAAATTCCTGCTCAAAAAAAGGAACAAAAATTCATGTAAAATGAGCCACGCATGGTCTATTCACAACAACAAATAAAGTGAACGACACAGACGACCTTGACATCCCAGAAGAATATCTAAACAACATATATCAAAGGCCTTTCGTTCCAAAAATAGCATTCAGTAACCAGGATTGACTCAAAGTGCCGACATCAAGCTAATTAAAGTATCAACATGAAATCACCAATCTACATTTAACATATCGTTATCACTTAAGCTTAACAAATGCATTAAGCTGATAAGATGGGAGAGGAAGTTAAACCAAGTCTACTGGACAAGCCGCCGGGGAGTTAGAGACTTTTCTTTGACTTGTTAAGTGGCTAAAGTCTCACCAGCCCCCTTACCTGGATTATCGCAGATGCCTACTCCATCGTACATGCCCTTGGGGGCTCCCAAAACGTTCAGCTCAAGCATTATCACCTTGATGGCATATTTTTAATTTCCTGGTAACTGTTTATTTAGACACTAGACGAGCACTGAGCTTTTTAAAGTGGCTGGATGAAGTGCCTGCATGTAACATCGGACATCCGAACGGGCCAAATATAGTCCAATGAGCCAGTTGCTAAATGTTGCCTATATAAAGGGACTAAACCCAAGAGCTTTGGTCGCAACTAAATTAAACTAAACTAAACTAAACCTATTCGAAATAAGCGGCTTTTAGAATAAAGAGCAGAAGGCTCGCTTAAGCAACTTTGTGATCTGTTTGAAGAACTTTCTAAAATTACCTATGACAATAAAAGTCCCGCAACAAGTGCTTCGACTGAAGATGAAAGGAACCCAGAAGTCTTTGCAGAGTTGCTAGAATTATATCTATTAACAAGGTTCAACTCATCACGGGAAAGGAACTTTGTTCGAGTCCAACAAGGCTTGAAAACAATTAGAAAAAGCTAGATAGTTAATCGTTCTGATGGTGAGAGAGACATTTGTTATGGGACGTGCCATTGTTACCAGATTGATTTACCCTCAGCCTCTCTGCAGTTATTTTAAGCAGTGATGTAGATTCAATTTACTGATCACATGAAACATGTACATTTAATCCGACTATGACCGAGGCGAATTTTTACAACCTAAATCATTACGTAATAACGAAAAGATCTCGCGCATTCAGACAAAATCCAAAAAGAGTAACGAGTACAAAGGTTTCTGATATAGGAGGAAAACTCCCAAAAATCATCTTTTATTCTATTCTCACGACTTTCTACCGTGTTTTACGGCGTAAACAACTTTTGTTTTTATGTCGGATAACAAATCGACAGATGACATGTTTCCCTAAGTTAAAAACGCCGAAAGGTAGCGAGCCTGCCACCAAAGACAAAACCTGCTTAAACCTCCACAATATCTCCGACTGGTATTTCAATTAGAACGAGAACACGCATGTGCTGTTGCTCCTCTTTTTGGTTATGTTAAATTTTGTTGTGGGTGCAGTTCTTTACTCCAACGATAGCCCCCGATTTATGTTAACAGGGTAAACGTTTGTTACGTCATTTAGTCTTGAATTTTGTCCAGAAAACCCAGTGAATCTTTAAACTTTCCAGGGGTCTACTCACAATTTCGCTCATCCCGTTCCTCGAGCTACGACATAACAATGGTTTTGCTGGGCACGTTTTATTTCCCATCAAGTCAAGACGGAAATGGATCATGACCTGGACCTTGGTAAAGAATACGCCCAGTGTTGATTTAATGTATACTTCTAGTTTTCTTCACTTTCGTAATTCGATAGAATTATAGTTACATTGTAAGGTTTTTCAAGTGGAGAATGTGATATCCTGGACTAATGTTAAATTACGTGCAAAATACTATCTTCATGAAGTCTACGCTACATTCACGTGAATCATGGATGATTTATCAGTACAATAGATCTCATATTCGCTTTTTATAATCCAATCTAATGTTGGCACCAAGATAATTTGTCACCATAGGTCGAGGTGTTATCAAGCTATTCAAAATCCGTAATGAAGCTATCTTCACGTCTTTTTACCAAATGCGAAGTAACAAAGGAAAGGACACGTAACATGTTTTCGCTTAAAAGAATTCGTGATACTGATTTTAACATTCTTTGCATGACTCCCTCGCATTTCTGAGACACAAACACAAAAAAACGTGCGCGAAGCACCTTTGGCCTTTTAAAAACGTTCTTTATAAACCGAGGAAATTGATCGAGAGACATATACCAGACGTTTTAATATTATTCTCCTCCGATGTGTCTGACGATCTAACCTGCTGAATGCCGAATGGCTCCTCATTTCTTTGTTTCGACACGAGTGTCTCGAGGAACGTTAGTGACTTCAATATTGTGTAAAAAAAATCATGGAAAACCTCTACGATTCGGATTTATTTGTGTATTGAGCCAAAATTCTCTCTGAACAGGAGAATAGGGTGGAATACAATAATTGCGACTTGATTTCCTCGACATAATCGCTATTTCTACTGATAAAATAAAACACACATTTGAACCAAAATCGCTGCGGAATGTCACAATGCTTTAAGTGTAAAGCTGGGTTGCGAGAGAGCTTTGAAAGGCCCGTGAGCATTACCGCTCGGAAGCCTACACGTGATGGAAATCCCTGCGTCAACCTCCAGATATTTTGAAAGACAATAACTGGTGCTCAACGTCTGACAATGAGTTTGTTTTCACAAGCTAAAGTAGCTGCTTAGCCGCACAGGCGGGCAGTGCTTAGTTTTTAGTGCAAACATAAAAGAAAATGCGTGCATCAGGCAAAGGAAAAAAAAAACATGACGCCCTCTTGCGAGAGAAGAATAACATGCTAAACGGCTTTCGCAATTATTTCAAGGGTGGAAGTCATCTTAGTGCTGCGAATTCAGATGATTATAATCAATTTTAGATAAGTTTTCACTAACTTGGCGCAATACCAAAGCGTAAAGAGGGGCGGATACCAGCCAGCGCTAACTAATTTCATTTTGCAAGGGCAGGCTCTGTTTGAGGTTGACAACATATCTAACATTTGGAAAGTGAATGAATGAACCTTTAAACCACTGCCTCGATGCATTTCTTACTAAAATTCTTAGAAGCAGCAGAGATGTACGTTACCTTAGAGTCACGATAAGAGGTTTCCAAAAAATATTGCTTGTTCACTTGCACCGGCGGAGAGCAATGTTCAAATTGATGTGTCGTATTATGAACCGGCTTATGTATCTTTCAAACTCATTGCGACAACCGCTGACTGTATAATTTACCCCATGCAGAGCAGCGGCATTGCACTGAAGCAGCGTAATTAGCGGAATAGATTAGCGAAGCTCTACGTTAAAGGACCTTAGATCTTCTAGAAATTCGGAATCACAGCGTTAGGTCTCCAATTATAGGATATTTATGTCAAGGATTTCCGCTTAGTTAAAATTCGTAGCATGCCCTAACTTTTTCAATGTTATCACTGCCAGGAGTATTTATACTTCTACTCTCACGTATCTTGTTCCATTGGATTCTCTTTGTTCTGTTTTTCCTCAAGGTCGAGGCTTTGTACTTCCTATTCATACAAGATACGAGTCACACAGACACGTACTCACCGTGTATGAATTCTCATTTACACGAGCTATAAAATCAAAATTAAGAGGTCGACAAAGCCTCCTTCACTCTTCCCTAAGCACTTGCTTCGTATCTTTATCCAAATTTTAACAGCTTTTTGATAACTTAACCGACTATCGATTTAGCTCGAACAACCTGACCTCGCCCCTATGCGACTACGTATTTTCGATGGTTTTGAAATAGGAAGTTTAGTGAATGTTCTTTTCAGCAAAAAAAATGACGTCGATAAAACAAAACGTTCAATGTAAGCGTAAAACACTTATAAGAATTTTTACTATATACGTATTTGTAACTTGCAGGAAATGCCGTACATGATTACTATTTCTCCGTCTAATGGCTCAGGATAATGGACCTCACATTAACTTATTTTACCTAATACTATCGACACTTAGCGGTTAGGAAAAGACTGTAACGTGACAGCTACTTGGCTATGACTACAGAAAAAAAATTCAAGTTCAACTTTGAGGGCACCTGCGGGTAGGTGTAGAGGTGTTAGATTGCTTCCTTCCGGGGAGACCGCAGGGGCGGAGGGGGGGGGAGGTCGCATGCTGGTGATGCTGGTTAGGGAGGTGCTGGCGGTGGTTTTGGGCGACAAAGCTCGCAAAGCACAGTACCAAAACAACTACAAAGACCATCAGTAGCAGCGTCAGACTTCTCTCTTTGAGTTATTTCTGCACCAGATTGAACGGCAAAATAAGTGATTATGAACACACCCCAGGGCTGTAACCCAACCGCCGTTGTAATTCTTTCTGATCTTTGATTTGGCGGATTATCGTGTAAAGCACTTCGCCCTTACGCGTTAACCATCCTCTAAATTGATTCGTCTCTCACACAAAAACTTCTGTCGTAATGTTAATCTATCGTCTTGATACATTTCGCAAGAAGCGTGCAAGGGGCAATTATGCCTTGATATGTTTACTTGGGAACAAAAATTAAACAATTAGCGGAAATCCGCCTTCCAACATAGCTAAACAGCTCTGCGTGATTGAAGTGAATGAAAGAAGCCGACAAAGCAATTAAGATATTTTCTCCACGGATTAGTGACTTCGCAATTTCCTTCAGTCCCCCAAACACGGTCCGATATAACGGTTTGCCTATCACTGCAACTCTCAAAAGATTGTCGGCCAATTAAGTCGTATTAATTCTTAGGCCAAGATCCAACATTAACAATCACGGTTAATGTTAAAAAAATTGACAGGTATTGAAAGTGACAGGTCTACACTAAAAATAGTTTACTTTAAGTCGTCACGCAATGGGGAGAGGCGTTGCGTGACGACACAAATAACGGCTTTGTTTTTAAATAAAAATTATAAAATTTTTGGCAGCTGTCCAGTAGTGCACGTAGCTGGAAAACAGGTATACATCATTTTCTGCCTAACAAATAGATATCTATGTATGGATACGTACGCCTTGTGACATTCTGCGAAACCTCGAGACTCCTTGTGATACACGGTGGGAGCCCATGTGAGACCTAAGTGATCAAGCCTTGTGACATCTCGTGTGACTGCTGTGACATCTTGTGACATTTCAATACCACAGGTTACTGTTGAAGACCTTGTGATATATCCCGGGGATTTATACTTTAATCAATTTGTATACTTGTCGTAGGAACGATTGAACTATGCTCTTTTACCTGTTGGGTGCCCGAACATTTTTTGATATTGCGATACCAAATCGAGTACCAAGTGCAACTTTTGTGTAACTAAAATATAATACCATTATTTGCTTGTCTGATGTAGGTCAGTGGGTCAGTGGTGAACAATTCCTCAGTCATGCATCCGCACACTTCAATTAAGCACTTAGTTGTTACCGGCCCTCGTTATGACCAATGAAATATAATATTTTGATCATATCTACTCAAGTCTTGCACCGTACGGAAGCGCGGTCTATTCATTTGGCACTCTGGGCTCTGTACAGTGGTCTATTTTCGAGTGCTGCCTGGGGTGTTTTTTTACAGTGCCACTCCCCACCCTGCTGTACACCAGCGAAGTGTGAGGGCAGCTTAGTAAAATACCGTGGGGTAGGCTGTGCACGCTAGCATCCTCTATAAGGATGAGATCCAGTGTGATGGGTCAATTAATTGAATGCTTAAAAAGGCGGGAGGAGCAGTTGACTTCAGGTAAGGTAACCGACGTTTGTCAGTTATTGTTTATTTCCGAAATAATTTATATTGTGGAGGCAACCCGTATTCTAACTGCTGCGATGGGCCGCCGAGAAGGACTGGCTGAGACTGAAGTGGCCGAAGGAGGAATGTTCACAGGCTAAGCTCTCACAGGATCTCGCACCCTTAACCTCGGCCCTCACTTGCGACGCAAGCATAAGCATAAACATAAGAAGCTTATGCGCTACTGGGGACGGCCGCGACATAAGCATGAGCATAAGCCATCTGCTTATGTTTATGTTGATGGTCATGTTAAAGTTATGCTCAGTGAGGACATGGCCAGCGTAAGCATAAAGTGCTCAATGATAGGCTGAACGTCGTCTTTCACTTATGCTTATGCTTATGCCAACCATTTCCCTATTGGACATAACAGCGACATAATCAGAAGCAGAGGCAGAAGAAGAACGCAAGGTTTTGATCTTCTTATGCCGCTTATGCCGGCCATCCTCAGACGCTTTTTATGCTTATGCTTGCATCGCCGTGAGGACCGGACTTTACAGGCAACATGTGAGAGCACATATGTTCCCGCTTTTTCACCCGAACATTTTTTCATGCCCAGGCCGGGTATTCGTAATTTTGTTAGATCTGTCGACCTTTAGACTGAAAATATTCTTGCGTACATTCTTTGGTTACAGAGCATACACTCTTTCTTTCCATAAGAATATTGTTTTTTTCTGCTCGGCTGAATCGTTTTGCTGATTGTAGGCTCAAAATATTCTTGTGAATATTCTTAGATTTTGACGTGTGGAATTTCAGTTTTATTGACCTTGATGGTGTTGAAGTTATTGTAGAGTAAGATTGCTGGCAACAAAGCCTGATTTGACACCTATAACTTCTTGTAGAAATGTTATTGGTATCGAACTTACGACTAAAGCTGTTTTTGTTATCTTTTGGCCATTTATAATGTTTAGCCAAAAAACAAATAAATGTATTGTATTTACAAGTTTTAAACACACAAAATTATATTCTTTTCAAGATCTCAGCCTCGGGTTTAATCTTAAAATACTTTCAAAATTTCGCAAATTTCGGCCTGGTTATTCTTATAAAAGATATTCTTATAAAAAAAATAGTGTGAAGTACTTGTATTTCAGTTAGATACAAAACGGATGTGGCCAAGATTTGGATTATGAAATAGAACTGTATGGTGTTTGAATAGCGTTACATTGCGCAGCATACTTTTCAATGGTAACATTTGGCATAAAGTTCACACCATAACACTAGGTCATTTTATTGATTTCTTTTCCACCAACACCTAATTCAATGTTCAAATACTAGGTGGAAGATTGTATTCACCAAGTTTGAAGGATGTAGCTTGGCGAGAAGACGCTCAGTTGATTTTTCTAATTTTCCATACATTTATGTGTTAATTTGGCTGGGTAGACGCGGTTCGCGAGAAAAAAAATATAGACAAATGTATGGAAAATTAGAAAATTAACTGAGCGTTTTCTAGTCAAGCTTCATCCTTCAAGCTTGGTGAATACAATCTTCTACGTAGTATTTTAACGATGCGATTCCCAAATTGTGTAAAATTCAATTTTGGAGAAAGTTATTTGCCATCGGATTCCCATACAAACACTGCTTTGCCTACCCCTAAAGATGGCGTCGAAAACCGTGATAAGGTCTATTGAGCTGATTCCAGCCTTAAAATTACTTAAAAACTGAAGCCTATATGTTACCTGTGCACACACCAGGTACGTTTTATTCCTACATGAATTTTTATATACATGTATAATTTCAGATATATGATACGACAGGAGTCCATTGACTGCCGATCAAGTTTCGTTCTGTCGTTCCGTTTGCAAGGTGCTTGAAGATGAGGCTGATAAGCGAGGGCGCGGGCAAAAGAAGGTGCGTTTGCCTCTTGAGCCATAAATGATTTTTAGTGCAGCGAGCTTACCAAAACTCAAGGCTTTTTTTTTGTGATAAATAACTAATGTATTTGGTCTTAGTCAATGCTCCATCAGAAAAAAAACAATTTCAATAACCTAACACCACCCTCCCTCACTTAAAATCCCTGTACCCGCCCCCTCCCCCACCATGACGAGCGCTCAGGACTAGCACAGTCCACTTTTCTCTTTTCGGGAGTCATTAGCTTTCCAACAGAGGTGATGTTAATTCGATTTCCCACCATTTTACTCTTTTACCAATCAGGTAGACACCGTTTTGGCGATCTGCCTGATTTGCACAGTCAATTAATTTGCCTGTTATAAGCAACCAAATTGCAACTATGATCAGGCACGATTTCCAAATTTGCAATTTGAGGCGGTGTCGGAGTCAAGGTCAAGGACGAGCTACGAGCACGTATGACACGGTATTCCTCTCCATTGGTCACGTATAAATCTGATTTTCTTTTTAGNTAACCTAACACCACCCTCCCTCACTTAAAATCCCTGTACCCGCCCCCTCCCCCACCATGACGAGCGCTCAGGACTAGCACAGTCCACTTTTCTCTTTTCGGGAGTCATTAGCTTTCCAACGGAGGTGATGTTAATTCGATTTCCCACCTTTTTACTCTTTTACCAATCAGGTAGACACCGTTTTGGCGCTCTGCCTGATTTGCACAGTCAATTAATTTGCCTGTTGTACCCAACCAAATTGCAACTATGATCAGGCACGATTTC